ATATATTTTGAAATTATTGTTCCTGGAATCTAGGCTAATAGATTGTTCTCCAGTTGCTTTACCAGGTTGATGAAACCTGGTACCTTCAACAAGAAGACCAATCAAATAAGTCATACCTAGCTGCCATGGGTTTGTGGAAAAAATACTTATATTAGGGCAAACATAAGTTAAAACAAAAAAAAAAAAAACATTGCTAGTAGGGAAGCAGCTAGCCTTCCCCAAAGACTCTTCCTGCTGTTTGGAACTAAAAAAAATGACATTAGTACTCAAATTTAAACATAACTCATTTAAACAAACTGCACATTATCATGGATGGATGGTCTTTTCCTCAGTTGCTTTCGAAACAATAAAGAAGGAAGTTTATTTTATTTAGACTCTCTGATGGGTGGGGGGGGGGGGCAAGAAAAACAAAGAACAATTGAGCTTCAAACTTCAAAGCATTTGACAATCACTTTCGAAAGTTCCGCTTTCATGCAGCGAGGCCTGGTGTTAATTAAAAAACCCCTCTACGCGTTAGCTGGGCTATAGTACATGATTCTATTTCTGCCGCTTATTAGCGTATTGCTCACACAGAAACACGGCGCGCCGCATCTCTGCCAGCTGTGATCCGGTGCCAGGAGCGTCCATTTTCCCAGGAAGAACCCTTTGTTTTTCCTCTCCTCCAGCTCAGTCAGCATCCCTTTCAGTGAAGAGCTCCTCGGAGGAGGAGCGACTGCGCTCGTGTGTGTTTGTGCGCGCAAAACACCGCAGCGCGCCAGAGACAGCAATAGCAGAATGCTCCATTTATTTTCCCATTACAGCCTGGCTGCTTTCCTCTCCAATAGTTTTACATGCTGTTAAGATTCCACTGGCTTAATGTTAATTGTTTATGTCCCCCCCCCCTTCCCCTACTTCGTGCAGATACCTCAGAACAAGGAAATGTCTGCTGAGGTTAAGTGCTCCAGTAATTAGACTATTTTTGGACGACTGATCTGATGTCAAAATTGAAAGTTTACCTGTGCGGCAGACGACTGAATCTGTAATATTTACTTGAACAGCAATGTTTAATTTGAGGATCTTGAGGGTCAGAAATCAAAGAGGCTGAGTTTTAAGCCATGCATACGTCTTGCTCTGTGATTCTGCAGGACTCATCACAGTTGCATAATTGAGTTGACTTGCATGGGTGAACTTAATTGCCTCCACAGCCAATGAGCCATGACTTAGATGTTAGTGCACACACAATGTGTATCGGCGGATCTGACTTTTAAAGCAGCTACATTCCACAATCGACCTGGCCCACACACACACACACACACACGCACACACACTCCTATATGGGCAAGACGTAAACAGAGGTGATTCAAGACCACTCAGCCAAAGCTTGGCTTGAGTCACTGCGCCTCCCTACAGTAAGGCACCCCGATAAGGAATGATTCATGAGTTCAGTCTCACCGCGAAGCTCAGCCCAGATGGGGACAACAGCAGCAGTCACAAGACAAATGGAGTGGACACCGACCCAAACCCAACCGGGACACAAAAGGGAAAAGAGGCACTTCTTATCACACGTTTACTCTCACACAATGCAAACTACAAATATAAAGTCTTGTTATCAAAGGAGCTTGTCACATATTTGCAAAGACCGGGTTTTAGAAATGACTTTCCAGTCTGTCTGAAACGATGCCACCCTTAAGTGGTTGCTAAAGTCAGAGGTGCAGCTATGTCTCCCTCTACTGGTGATACTCTGACACCACAGAGATCGGTTCAGACTCCTCGTTATAAGGCACGTGCTGGGAATAATGGTGACTGATTTTGAATTGAAAAAAAAAACAACAACAAAAAAACGGTAGCCAGCTGGAGGTATAGCTAATAATTTCTCCATGTTTAACAGTTAGACTCAGGGATGGGTTTTGATTACAAATATTAGGCAATCTTGAATGTTTCTGCCCCACGCTTCAATGCACTTTGCTTGAATCTTACTGGAAACGTCAACACAGTCATACGTAATTGAGAAGTAGACGTGAAGTGAAACATTGTGTTAGATTTATTTACAGTTAGGTCGTGAATGCAAATCCATTTTATTTATAAAAAAAACATTAGAATAACAATTTGTTTTGCCACTGTGCTGCACAACACTGAAACATTTCAAACCAAAAAAAAAAATATATATATATATATATATATATAAAACATTTTAAACAAAACAATAAAAGCAGAACGAAACCAAAAAACTTTAAATGATTAAAGCAAAAGCCAAAATGACAACAAAACGGTGAAATATAAGCTGAAGCAGAGAGGTACCGGAGAGCAAAATCCGGTTAGTTGACGGGCAGAAGCATCTGAATGAGCCGTGAAAGAGTGGCCAGATTGACAGCATAAAGTGAATAAGAATAATTTAGTCAAGCGTGGATCTCATGTTTTGACGGGACAGACAACCTGACGTAACTGAGAGAAACTTTTCAGCAAAACGCTGCAGAGTTTTTTCTTGAACTTGAGATCCACTCTTGATGCAATTACACAACTCTTTTGCGGTACGTCTCCATCAGAGTAAAATTTCTTTTTTTTTTTGCCACATGATAGTTCAAATGTAATAAGAACGTATGGAGAGCAAATATCAGTTTTTCAGTGTTGACTCATACTTTCTGTTGACGTCTTTCAGACTTGACTCTCTGAATCAACATAACACATTAATAGGTTTTCCTAAATGATAAACGATTCCACTGCATCGTTGGCTGTTGCAAACTTAGTATTGTTGACCTGCTGAAAGCTAAGTAAATTTGATTTATATTTATTTTCTCAGACACAAAGTGCTTCACAGTGAAAATAATAAAAACTTCAAAAGCAATAAAAACACAAAACAATTACCCTCATACACATTCCCATCAACTCTGATGAGATTCCCCGTTCAAGAAACGCAGCAGTTTGTACCACAGCAACAATAAAACAAATGGCTGAATACAAAACGCAGGTTATGTACTTTTCAGATTTCAATTTAGAAAAACATTTGAAAATGATAATTTTCCTTCCACTTTACATCGCAGCCCTTCTTTTTTGTTGGCGTATCACAAATAATACCAATAAGACACTAAAATTTGTTAAAATGTGACAAAATGTGAAAACAAGTGGAAGGGTTGTGAACGCACACGATCTGGTTAACAATGGCACACAGATGATGAACAAGCAATTATTTAAGTTTGTTTAACCGGTGGGACGGATTAATCCTCTGTTTACTCTTTTGGACCCGCTCAGTCTCTCATGCGCACAGGGAGACACAGAGATACGCACGCACGCACGCACACACACACACACACACACACACACACACACACACACACACACACACACACCACAGTCCCTGCGGTAAAGCTTTACACTGTACAGCTCCAGATTAATGTGAAGCACACAGCCGGTAAAGGAGGACTGAAGTCGCAGTCTGCGTTCACATCATGACGGAGCTTCTCAGCTGCAACGCGAACGACACATCTGAAAAAGGTCGGTTCGGTTCAGTTCGTACTTCCCTCGATCAGATGCCTGGTTTTGGTACATCTTTAATGCACTACACTGCAGCCTGCTACCGTATGAAAGCCGTGTTTAGACAGGGATGCGTGTTCACTGCCAAAGCCCGTTTCAAGCGCACGCAGACGCGTGCTGTCCGCTAATTAAGTGAAAACAGTAGCTGACATAGATCAGATCGACAGTCCCTCGGGGTTTCAGAGATGCGCGCGGGGCGGGGGGGCGAAAAAACCGCGCAATCGCTTCCTGGACACGCCGCTGACGCTCAGAGGCTGTGGAGACGGCTTCTGTAAACACACGACAGAGAGAGTGGGTGCACTGGACACGTTTTACAAAACGTACACAGAGAGTTAATAAAACGGACTGAACCAGCGCTCATCTTGGAGCAGTTATATCACATCATAAAATAAACAAGATGAATTACTGGATAGAAGCTCCGTGCGCTGAACGTTGAAGGTTTATGGTTCAGACTGCAGACGATTAATTTTTTAGTTTTTTTTCCAGCACATTCCTCTGCTTGATATCTTGCCCGTCTGATCCAGGCCATTAGTGGCGAACAATTTGATGCTCCAATTAATCTCCTGCTTAATGAAGGGGGTGATGCGTTACGTTCTGCAGTGGCAATACAATGACTCAGTTCTGTTGGATTTTCTAAAATGGGGACATCTTTACCTGACAGACGGAAAGTAAAGTCTTTCCGTCTGTCACGTTGTCCAACGTGATTTAAGGAGTTGGACAAACTCCTTAAATCACGTGAGTTAAGGCTATGAGTGACATGTTCAAGGTGTGTGACCTTGAACAAAAATATCACATTCTTACAGCAGCACAGGAGGCGGGCGGTGTGTTGAGGTAAAGCAACGACTGTTCCTACAGCTGCTGAAATGTACTGCAACATGTTGACAATTAGATACTTCTATTCATGACACTTCTGTTTAATCAACTTTGTTTTGAAGGTACTGCATTGCTCTTGACTCCATGTAGGCATACAGGGAGGACGTCTGTCGTTTTGCTGGTACTCTGGTCAAACGAGAACAAAAGCCACGATTGGACTGTAACAAGAATGTTGTGATTGAACTTTATTTTACGCTGGATTGTCCGTCAATTGCTCCCATAGCTGCTGCAGCGCTAAAATCACATTTAACAATACAGTAGACTGACATTTTCAACTGACTGTAGTCAATACAGCCTTTTCATTGAAACAGCATGATTTCCAACTCGTAGTGCATTAACCAAGCAAATACCATCCGTACGCTTTCCTGATTGGAGAAGCGGTCAATCGTATTTAGGTATGGCTGCATGTGATGCGCCGTAGGGGCAGAATGTGTCAAATTCTTAAAGACAAGCGCCGCTTGGGCAACACAGTTAACAGTAAACGGCTCAGTGTCTCCAGAAAGGCGGTAGTCGGGGTTAGCTGCGAGAAAACATTTTTCTCTCTCCGTACGCGACTCCTGCACCTGCTGCTTGTAGCACGAAAGCTGCACCTGCTGGTGTTTGCACACAAATACACATTTAGATTTCAGAGAAACGACGACCGAGATCAGACACAAAAGGAGTGCAAAATGCTTAGTCTTGCAGTCGTAAATGGGTGTTACGCGCCAGCCTGTCTCCCGTCTGCTTTGTTCCACCAGTCACTGAAATATAAGGAAGGTTGTACATCCAAAACGTGTGTTAAAAAAAAAAAGTAGTTATAGTGCTATCCTCGGTGTTATCTCTGTTGCATAAATTACTAAACTAGTAACACTGATTTCACTTCTTTCAGTTGAGATTCTTCAGCTCCTGAATCAATCTACAGAAATCTGCTGGCATTTTAAAAATGACCGGTGGTACCGCTACACCCTGTTGTTGCTGTGTACCTTCACCCTTCCTGCGGGGATGCTGGGAAATGTGGCGGTGCTGCTCAGCTTCACCTGCCTAGGAAAAAGCTTTAAACCCAGCCACGTTTTCCTGTTGAACCTGGCTTTATGCGACTCGGCCTGGCTTCTCACTCTGTCTTTGACGGTTTACTTCAGATTCCAAATCTCAAACCTGGACAGTCTGCAGATTTTCGGCAAAATCAAAAGGATCTCCTTTGACGTGAACATCTACGGCAGCATCGTCTTCATCGGTCTGATCAGTTTTGACCGCTACGTGGGCACGGTCCATCCCATCAGCTCTCTTCGCTGGTGGAACGTGGGTAAAGCCAAGATCTGCTCGGCGTTGACATGGCTCGGACTTCTTCTGGGCATCACTCCAGACTTATTTGTAGCCACTTGCGAAAACTCCGACACGTGCACGAGTCGCGTCCACAGTCTTTTCCCTCCATTCAAAATGCTCCCCATTATTAGAACGACGCTGTGCTTTCTGCTCCCCTTCAGTGCCATGCTAGCTTTTTCCACAATGACCATTCGCGTTTTGAGGCGCCGCTCAAGAGGAAGAAGGAACAAGGAACTCCAGCGAGCGAGCAGGAAGCCGCTGCAACTCGTCGCCGCAGCTATCCTCGTCTCTGCAGCCTCTTTTGTGCCTTATCACATCTTGGCCGTCGCTCTGACGTTCATGCCGGCTCGTGGCTTGGTGAAACCGTCCGACTCCAGTTGCCTCTGTGCAGCTGTGGAGCTCTGTGAAGCTCTGTGTGGTTTCAGCAGCTGTCTGGACCCTGTGCTGTACATTCTGGCTAGTGAGCAGTTCAAGAGGAAGATGCAAACCTTCAAAAGAGAGCAGTACAGGAGGCTGTGCTGTAAGGAGGGTAGGAGGGTTGGGGTTATTGACGAATGAGTATTAAATGTTTAGCTTTTCTGGATATTATCCTTTGAGGCTTTTCTTTGAGGCAACGCGGTTGTACAATTGTTCCGTTATGTGAAGTAGTAACTGCACACCACAGTCATGTGAAGAAGTATTTGCCACTTTCTTGCTTTTTTTCTTTTCGTCGCAAGTAAAGCTTTATGATTATAAGATGAAAGTTCTTGTCAAGCAAATCGGATAAAAAGGACAGCTTTTCAAATGATTTAATATGCAACCTTTTCCAAAGCAAAATACGTAAAAGAAAAAAACCTGGTTAAATCGTGAATTAAGTGTAATCGCCTGATTCCTGCCAGACTTGGAACAAAAATATAAGTAAAAATATATTTTGTAATTGGTTTGTCATCTTTTCATTTGATGCTGTTCAAATACACACTATGCATTATTATGTCCTACAACAATATCCTTCTCTACATTTAAAAACTTATCTAATATCTTATCTAATTCCAGAAGATGTAGCACTGGTCATTGCTTTTAGCGTTTCCGGGTAGCAGGTACGCTACACGCCTAAATGTCGGGTCATCACTCCAAATTATCGACTTGTTCAATTCACTGACACAGCTCTATAAAATCCAGCACCTTGGAACGCAGAGTGCTTTCTACTTTAAATTTGCTCCACAACAATGCGTACACAGAGCTTGATGGAACGGGACTCCGTGACTTAGCAGCTGCAACCAAGCTTTTTGCATCATCCTCTCGACGTTTTTAACGCGGCTTCATGGTGGCCTCTACCTATTCCAACATGACTGTGCACCAGTACACAAACCAACACTCATAAGGACGGGAACAAGAGAGTTTTGTGTAGCAGAACTTGACCTGACATAGCGCCTTTTGGACGAGTTGGAACAGAAAATGAAATCCAGTCGGTTTTGTCAAACATCAGTGTTAGAGATTTTTTGGTATTATCATTTTGTTATTACTTTAGTTCATATTCAGTCTAATGTTAATCAATAGTTAATCAACATTCAGTATTATTGTGATTTTCAGTTTAAAGTGTTCTCTTCCTTATGTGTGTATAAACTGACCTGGAGGCCCCATCTGCCTGTTCGTCTTCATGTGAAACAGTTATCTGTGTTTTTCCCAGACCTTGAATTATGTTTCCACAGGTGCCTCCTTATCAACCGGAATACTCCCTATTTTAGAAACTGTCTGTGTGCAGTGGTATTTTGTCTCTGCTGTCTTCCTTACCTAACCTCCCTATTTTTACTTGATAATAAAAGACAAGCTGTAACCAAAGGTCTTTAGAACGCTCAGTGAACGGCTCGGAGGAGCAGTTTGCTGAGACTTCTCCTTTTGCAAAAGCTTGGTCATAAAATTCATATACGTTGTCTGTGGTTCTTTTATGAAGGTTCAAGGAAAATACCTATCAATCAGTGTCCGACCTTATAAAAAAACTACAAACCTGAGAACGGGATGTAAAGATACAGCAAGACACACATTGCAAACCTTCAACCCAAAGCAGCCTTCACTCCCTATGAGTCCTAGAAATGTAAACGCAGATCAACTTTAACTTTTCAGGTGTACTGAATATTGAATAAATCTCAAACAAGGGATGCAAACAAAGCCACTCGCCCCTGTTTAGCAGCTGCCGTTAACATATGGGCCACATCAGAACATCTTCTTAGCCTGCAGAGTCTGCTGCACCCTCTCTCGATTTAAAAAAACAACAAAATAACAACTCTGCCTCCTTTGCATCCCCAAGGAGGGCCGGGTCCTTCTCGTGCCTCATTTCTGTCTTTAACTTGGGATGAAAACAACATCCCTATTCATCATGGCGCACATTTACATCACCGCGGGCTAGGGTGGGGCGCGAGGGCTGCTGGCAGACACGACTTATCTCCCCAGAGCTCGACTCCTCTGTTACTAAGTACCTAGATAATAAATCAAAGGTGGAAAGATGACAATGGAGCTCCCTCCACAGGGAGGCTGCTGCCGAGCAAAGATACGACGAAGGGCTACTGGGCCATGGTATCTGTTCCATTAAGAGGTCTGCTGAACTGTTTCATTTTACTTAAGTGTTGACTCCAGGCCAAAAACAGAGACAGGTTCTGGTAAAAATATCATTTTCTTTTTGGCTGCTGTCCACTTTTGCTACTCTTGCAGTCTTTGTATTTGACAGCGTTGCTATGGAAGCCCAAAAGCCACAGCTAAGTACATAAACAAATAAATGTTGCTTCGTTGTACTGTTAATTAATTCATACTATAAAACTAATATGATTAGTTTGTAATGACTTAAATTTATAATAAATTAAAAAAACAACAACAATACATGCAATAATTTTAGTGTTACTTCTATAGCGATTTACCAGGTCAAAAGACTTGGAGAGATGGACGGTGGAGGCGGTTCGAATCGCAACCCACTGATTGCTCCTACCTTCTGTTGCCACCGAAGAACCACTTCAGGGTTCTAGGGTGGCCCAGCTCACCTTCGGATCTGAACCTGGTGGAAAATCTTTTAAAAGTGAGCTGACATTGAAACGCAACACAGAAAGTTGAAAGATCTGGTGCACATCTGTATGGATGAAACCTGGTCAAGGACTACAGGAAACGCCTGGCCTCTGGGCTTATAAAGAAAGATTTCTGTACCGAGTTTTATTTTTTCTATTGTATCGAAAATGTATTTCATGCAATAAAATGGAAATTGAAAATCATACAATGGATTTTTTTTTTTTGAGGATACAGATCTCACATTTATCCTACAACAACAAAAATTACAGACCTGTTCATTCTTCGGGAAACGTAAAAAATCTTCAGTGCATGAAACACTTATTTTTTTCCTCCGCTGTGTACAGGGAAAAAACAAACAAACAAATTCTTTAATTTTCTCACCCACACAGCCACCTGAACAAATCAACATATTTTGGCACACAGTTGCTATACATAGATTGGCTTTCACAGCCATGGCTTCCTACATAATACCATATGACAGAACCCAGATGGCTTCCTGTAGGCTACAATCATCAAGACCCCACAGAGGGAAGCAACAACAGGGTCAGCACACTCCAGCACAGCAGAGAACACACACACACACACACACACACACACACACACACATACACACACGCATTCACACAGAGCACCGCAGAACATCCATTTGTTATAGCAGACCTGACCAAACGAAGGAGGCTTTTCCCACAACTTTGACCTTTTCTTGTGCTGCACACAGTATGAAGTGACTCATCAAAGAGGAGACAGAGCAGACAGACTGAATGCAAGACTCGGTGAAAGCGAGAATTTAATAAGATTTAGAAAAATATATGTGACACGACTTAAAAATTATCATTCGCTTTACCTTGCAGAATCGCCCAAAGCCTTGGGGAGCCATTAGAGAATACATCATGCCAACGTCTTGGAGACGAGGCAGAACGAGAATCTGTAATGAGAAGGGCTTTCACTTTTCACATGAAGAGGACGAGATAATCGTTTACTGCAAGGCTATACATGTAACGCAAAACTCTCAAGATGAGGTGGCGCATCTTGAAATAATAATAATAATAATAATAATAATAATAAAAAACGTATATATGCTAGATTCGATGTGCAGAAGCCAACGTCGGACATTTGACCGGAGAGTGATGGTCGTAGTCAGAAGTGTTGGAGGCGCCCCTTGAGTTTTTATTGGACAAAAAGACAATATGGAGCCAGAAGAGACTTCTGATATTTAATTTAGAATACCATATCTGCCATCTAAACATCTCATTCTCTTAAAAAAAATGACTTTGCTAGATGAAATCATCTCCTATCTTGGGGGGACAAGTTATAGTACAGAGATCTCATGGATGGTTAACATAACATATAATTAGACTCAATGTTTTCTTTGAACTAGGCACTTTTGCAGTTGGCTGTAGCTAATAGTTTCCTTCCTTATTTTTGGAAGATTGCAAACTTTCAGTATGGAGCATCTCTTTACTATACACTGGTAACAGGGAATTGTTTTATATTTTTATCTACTAGTTCTTGTGTGTAAAATCTTGGCAACCTACCGTCACGTCTTTCACCACTCAAGAAAAGCTCAATCTGAAAACATTGCTAACCTGGACTCATCTAATCTAAGGCTGCAAAGACACAAACGGCACAAATAAAGATAAACTTCTCATGAAACCGGCGAGTATTAAACCTCAAGACAAATGAGTTGTGACAGCCATACTTCCGCTTTTTTTTTTTTTTTTTAACTAGAAGTAGTCGGCTAGCGCCCGCTCAATAAAGATCACAAATTGCCTTGAGTGGCTGTACGGAAGAGGTCGTCCCTTGAATCTCAAATGTCCTCTCTTTAAATCACAGAATCTGTCACAAGTTATTCATCATCAACAGTTCATTAGATTTTCCTCCACGAGACGCAGCAGCAAAACAATATGGTGAGCGTCTGCCTGCTCTACGGCTGAAAACGACACAGGAATACTAAATCTGGGTATGTTGGAGAAGGAACCTGTATCATTTCTGACTAAATATTTGCCAGACAAGTATAACTCATCATAACTTTAATTGGGGGTGGGAGATTGCAAACGAATGGTTGCACCATTCAAAAACAATGTTCACCGATGAAGACATGTTCAGTAAATTGGAATATGTGTGTTCAGATGAGGCTTGTTTGTCTGATTAAATGCAGCTAAACACCTTTTAGGGAAACAAATAAACCAAAAGTTATTACTTAGCCACAATGAAATAATTAGCGGATTGATGCTATCAAAAATAATGATAGTGTATCAACTGTATGGTGGTGGCACCATCATGCTGAGGGTAAGCTTCCCTATCAGTATCAGGGGATGGAAGAAAGATGGAAGAAATGATTACATTTTCCCTCAAATTAGCCGCTGGATATTTGAAACTTTGATCAAATTGAGTGCTGGAGAACAACACGCCAACATACATATCAAAACTGGTTATACTGATCACCTCAATCCTACTGAAAATTGGCAGAATGTCCCTGAAAGTTTGGATAGCTGCAAGCAAACCGACGGATTTACATGAGTGAGGTCAATATTCAACCAGAATCCTATCAGAATCTTCCTCCAAAGTTTCTGGTTTCTCTGCAACCTGCAAAAGGACAACACCTTGTAGTTAGAATTTTGACCCAGTCTGGGTTAAATATAATTGTTGTGGTTGTTGCATGTTGCTTCGTCATTCCAGTTTGGAAAAAAGGACGGTTCAAGTGCAAAGAGATGGTGTGAAGATAAGATAAGATAAGATAATTGAGAAGCGTTTGGTAACGAGGTCAAAGACGGCCCATGAGAGCAATCTTGAGTTTACACAGCAGCCACTCAAATGCAAACCCTTGGATTTAATATCTTTAGCAATTTGGTAACAACTTACGCTACATTGAAGACAATATT